TTAAATGACAAAATGAACACAAAACCAAAAGTTAAGTGACCAAAAACCTAAACCAATTTTAAAAATATTTTTAATTTTTTTAGAAGGTTCTAAAAACATTGTAAAACCGTTCAAATAAAAGTTTACGAAATGTAAAAAAGTTGTAAAAAGTGAAAAAAAAAAGTTCAAATTGTTTATTAAAAAGGTTGTACAAATTTATATATATAGTATTTGTTAAAATACTTTGAAATAATTTGTTAAAAAGTTAATTTGTAAAGAAAGACTAATTTTGGAACGAAATTGTAAAAGACTAAAAAAAATTGGATGAAGATCGTAACAAAATCCGAAGCTTTGGTCAAAATTCTTAAATTGTAAAATGATTTACCACAAGTAAAACCAAAACAAAAATAATATATATATATATATATATATATATATATATATATATATATATATTTTATAATACATATTTTAATACCAAAGTCTTAAAAACAGTGAGATGAATTTTTGGTCTTTGGATTTCATTTGAATGGTTAGGATACTCATCCATATCAATAGATTTAAACCAATCAAAATCAAGTATCTATACCTTCTTATAAAAAGTTTATAAATATGGGCCCCACCAAAATTAAGACTAAGTCTTAAAATACGAGAGTGGATTTTGGCAATTGGATCTAATTTACATGATTTGGATCTAATTTTAATGGTCTAAGACGGTGATCCTTGAGAATAAGAATCAGCCAATCAAAATAATAGGATTACATGTTTAACTTTTACAAAAAGCACTCTCTTCATTATATAAACTCTAGCACCCGTATTATACTCTCACATTATTTCTCTTTCTAGAAAGCACTCTCTCAAACGTAGCCCCAACTTATCTTTCTTTATTTCTCTGTTTTTGTTTTTTTTCAGCCTCATTATCTTTCTATACACCACCACGTAGCACTTTCTTCACACACATCTTTTCCTGTCAAAATAAAAAGTAGCATAAGAAAAATCTATAAATTTATCGTTTGCTTATTCATTACTAGAAAAACAGTCTTTTACGACGCGCAATGCGTATCGTAAAACGCTCAGACGACGCGCAAATGCATGTCAAGGAAGGCCTTGTCATAACGAGAGACGACACACTTTTGCGCGTCGTCTATTTACGACGCGCATTTACGACGCGCATTTACGACACGCATTTGCGACGCGCAGTTACGACACGCAATGCGTATCAAGGAAGGCCCTGTCATAAAGGAAGACGACACGCATTTGCGTGTCGTAGCCTTACGACGAGCATCTAGGACACGCATTGCGTATCATTAAAGCCTCTGTCATAAATGAAGATGACACGTATTTGCGTGTCATAATTTTAAATGTTTTAAAAATATATATATTTTTGATAGAATTACTAGTTTTCAAATTAAACAACAGATTGAAATTATCATAATAAAAAATAAAATACCATACATAAGAACAATAATTCATTTCAAAAAAATATCACATGTCAAACAACACTACATGTCAACACTAATAACACTTAAAACCATGCTTTTTCCTGCATTTGGAGCACCTACTATTCCTATATCAGCAACCAACTTTAGGTCCAATTCCAGCCACCTGTAAAAGAACAACATTAGAAGATCAACATTTGCTTGATTTGATGATTCAACATTAGCAGCAGCACATAAAGGTATAGGAGCATAGATTAAAAAAAAAGAGGTAGCAAGATGAAGTAGAAAGGAGAAAAGATTACTTACAAATGACCCCAAAATGATGCCAAAGACTGAAGCAAGTCAGATAAGTTTAGGCCGTCATCTTTTAGCTTTTCACGACCCCCTTGTACAAGCCGTTCGATCACAACATATTCCAAAATATCATACTCAAGCTGCAGAGAAAACCACCAGACATTTATTGCAAATTCAATCAAAACAACCAGAAAGGGTAACTTACAATGTCAAACACTCGGTTTGGATCCAAATTGAAGTTCCCGATTAACGACTGCAAAAAAGAATCAATTAGTGAAAAATAACAGGTATGGGACAAAGTAGGAAGTCAGAATATTTTATAGTAGATGTCAAACCTTGATTATGCCAACCATTGATGTTGATGTATTTTCATAACAAACTTCAGAACCTTGACAAAGAAGGGTAACCTACAATTTGAGAGCAACTAACAAAATAAGGAACACCAATCATGCATGGAGTAGATGACTACAAAACAAAAAAGAATGGAAGATAAAGTGTTTCCCCTTTCAAGCAACCACATACACCGAAGTAGCTCTAAATTACAACTGTTTTCCCTCCCAATCCACATATAAGTAACTTATAAGCATTAACCAATTTTGAAGCTAAACAAAGTTAACTTTTCGTTAAACTGTAGGTATAGTTTTTTACAATGTTCTTCCACCCGATAGGTAAGAAACTGTGTGTGCAACAATTATATCATGTATTAAAGTATGGTTTCTCTAATAGGTTCTCTTCATCTCAGTTGGGTCATGGGTGTGTTTTGCTCCACCCGTTATACTACAGTTCACACTTGTTTTTTTATACAATGTTCAAGAAAATTTCCTTCATCAGATTATAAAATACTAGAATATGATCTATCTTCTTAAAACAGGAGAACTCTTTCCCCAAGGGAATTGCAACCCTTCGAAAGGATTTCAATGCAAGAAACTTAAAAGTAGGAATTCAGGACTAAGCTACATAAGCTATGATTTATTGATCATATACCCTTTTAGATCATTAAATATCAATGTCAAGATAAAATAGACCAAATATTAATGCTGACATCACTAGAGATGAGATGCAAGCACAATGTCAAACTCAAAACAGAACCAGCTGAAACTGAAAGTGTCCTTAGAGTAGAAGAATGATACCAGCTTGGCATAGCCTTCGCTTTTTTCTGGAAGAAGGTTGAATTTGGTTTGTTGATAAAGAAGATGAGTGTTAACCCTGACCTGTAAACAAGCACACATAAACATCAACAGAAGGAGAAAATTATGTTGGGATTACTCTCCCAATAGCTGATGTATTTGCATCAAATACAAAATACCATCAATAGGTTTTTAGCAACCTAACTACTGGAAGGAACTATATTTATAAAGACTTAAACATAAGGGGCAGATACAGCTGATCGTAAAATTTGTAAATCCAATTATAGAGAACTAAATAAAAAAGGTAACTTTCAAACCTACCTCTTTTGACTTCAAATCAGTGGCCTTTATCTTAATCATCTCTGAATCCCATTAGATTTCTTCTTGTAAACTCCCAATCAAGTGGTACACTCACTCTTAGTGCTCCGAAAACATGGAATACTGAAGTTACAATGTACTTTTTAGCACTGTCTATCAATGATGAAAAATATAAATTACCTCACACCGTTCATGGAACAGCCTCAAAGGGACTACAGAATGTTCCTGTTGGATTAGTGTCTAAGCTCGTAACTATATTTGGTAAGTACTTGACCCGGTTGTGCATGGTCCTTTTGGGTTGCCTTCACTAGAGCAACTTGACAGGGTGATTTATGAAGAGAGAGGTTATTATGGTTTATTGATATATTATATGAATAATATATTAAAGGAGAAATCATATAGTTTAATTAATATTAGACAAGAATTAATTAAGAATTAATTATGTGGCTAAAAGATATTAATTAAATAACCGGGACTTAAACTGTCAAATGTGTGATAGTTGGATATTGGGCTGAGAAGCCTTATGGACTAGGCATGGACGAAATTAGGAATGTGTCCATCCTAATTTCGGCCATAAGGGCCCTATTCTAGAAGCTTCCTTGGATTGCTTAAGGCCTAAGTTGTCCATTAGGGTTTTGACTGAAACCCTAGCAGCACAAGTATATATAGAAACCCTAGGGCATCAGTTTTCGGTCACTTGAAACCCTAGATAGTTCCATAGCCGAAATTGTGCCTCTCCCCTCTCTTCAATATCATCCTCTTGCTTGTGTGGTGTTTATAAGCCATTAGAGGGGTGACATTTGTGACTCTAAGCTCCAATACAAGAAGATTCAAGCCATTGTTGAAGAGGTAATCATCTAGATCTGTTTCCATATGATAATTTCAAAATATGTATGCTAGATCTAGGATTCATAAGGCTTGGATGAATTGCATGTACAATAGAGAAGCCTAGATCCAAGCTTTAGGGTTTGCATGAGCACATAGGATGTTGTTTTGGCTCAAACTCATCAGTGGTATCAAAGCCTTCATTGGTTTCTATAGTATTTGGTGCCTAGTATTTCAGTCATGCTTTGAAAATTCATTTTTTGGCCCTCTGACTAAAGAACTCGTCGAGTCCCAATGAGGAACTTGACGAGTTGGATGAACTCGACGAGTCCACATTGGGAACTCGGCGAGTTTAGCTGTCAGACAGAGGATATCTCGGGATTTCTTGCTGTTTTGCTAAAGGATAATTACCATAACTATTTTTAACTAATAAAATCCGATTTTTATTGTTATTATATGATTATCATTACTAAAACAAAAGATAATTACCAATTAATTGAATAATAAATTCCTTATGTGATAAAATTTAATTATTTGATGAATTATCTAGTGATTAAAATACAATAGATCAAATTTAGATAATCATTAAATTAAATGTTTAATTTAAAATTATTTTCTATTTGATCCTATGTGTTTTGAAAAGTTCAAAACTTGCCCTCAAGTTTTGAAATTTAAATTTTAATTAAAAGTTTAATTTGAATTATTTAAATTTCAAACCCTAGAATTTTACAAGTTTAAAATTCAATCCTATACTTTATTTATTAGAAGATTAATATATTATATATATATATATAATATATATATATATTATATATATATATATATATAATAAGCATTTAGCATTTTGCTGAATTTTAAGGTACAAGGTAATCAACAACATGTACAACCGTTTTAAGCATTAAAAAGTATCTAATCTTATCTGGTCAAAGTCAAAAACTCAATACGTGATTCAAAAGTCATATAAATTGAAATTCAAATTCATTCGCAAAGTTTCTAGGCTTTTGACCTGCGTGCGTAAATTTCCGCAAAAATGTTTCATTGCTGGTTTATCTTCACTTTATAAAGCATTTCCACTCTATCTCTCTCTACCACCGTTTCCCCTGGTTTGCTTACTCCACCTGTAAATCTTGATACATCGCCACCCTCATAGACCCATTTTCTCTATCTTCTACCACCATAGAAGTCTTCTAACCATCAGTTGTAGGTATTTATAAGAAAAATCTCATCCCTTTCTCCTCTCATACTCTTATTTCACAACTAAATTTTTTTGTTTTGGTTATTCAACTTGAAATAACTTGAAATCGATCGTCTTTTGTTCTCTGCATCTCTGCCATCCCGACAAAGCACATAGCTACAGAGCCCTCAAAATTTATTCTCCGCCGTTTGAAACCCTAAGGCATCGTTTCCACCATGATAAACACACCACCACCATCGCACCTCTTCCTCCATCTACCTCTCTCTCGAACACCATTGCACCATCGCGATTTTGAGTTTTGTTGTTCTGATCTGGGACCCTCACAGGCTTCGCCTTCTTCACCAATCACAACCATGACTACATATCTGGTACCGTCCCTTTAGCCGATTGAATCAGTCAGCAGGAGATACAATCTATAAGGCATTTCCTCTCTCTGTACTATTAAGATGGCGTTTCCTTCAACAACTCATCATCACCATCTCTCTCTAAAAAACCCTAAAATCCATCACCACCCTGCCATCCCTCATATTCTCTAAAAATAAATCACCATAAACACTAGATGACTTCACCTTCTCCACTACCAAGTACCCCTACTGCTTCAACTATTTCAAAGTCTTCCAACCACTATATCCTTAAATTCCTTCAATGTGCAGATGGTTTCAATTTGAGGTTAGATTGAAGCCTTTGAAGCCCACCGACCACCTTCTGCTTTGTTTATCGTCGTTGTTGCTTCAACTGCCACTATCTTCTCCTTTTTCTCATCAAGGTAACAACTCCCCTCATATTGTTTAGCGATATCTCTTTAACTCTCTGAATTGTATATGTTTGTGACTACATACATTTAATGGATTTCTTATATTCTCTCCAATTTTCCACTTTTCTCTGTTTTTAGGAATGGGGAGGAAAAGAAAGATGTAGAAATTTGGGTTTTTGACCTTGGTTATATTTGTTCTCTCCATTTTAATCTAATTTCTTTTATTATTGTTTAGTCCACTGATATTTCTTTCTAAAGAAATGGAAACTAATTGCAAAAGCTGCTGTCTTTGTGTCTCTGTTTTGCAGCTCAATGCATTGTCATTATTGTTGTTGCTTTGGATTTAGTTTCAAACAAAAAAGGTAATATGCTTTCCTTTTCCCCCTATTTTATCTTATGAACTCCTTAAGCCATCTTTACTACACAGAAATTACATGATAGAAATTGAATTCTTTCAATTTCTCTTGTTTGGTTAGTAGGAAGAATAACTCCTTAGGCCGATGTTTCTAAAATGATGCTATTTTGTTACTTTTTTTGGTTTGCAAACTCTCCTAATGAAGTATGTAATGGTGTTGCTACTGTTCTGTTTCAAGCTTGCTACTACTGGTGTTTACACATGGCTCTTAAAGTTTCTTGAATAATATATTTATGCTCCTATTCATAGTGAAACTTATCAGAAGAAATGACATTTTTATTTGATTTTTTTTTCAGTAAACTCTATTCTTTTTAATTGAAATTCGAATGTCATTTAAGGAAGTTTCTGCAAACATTTGATATATTTTACTAAGAAATACACATATGTATAAACAGAAGATTAAGTATTTGATTACTAATTGTTACAACAATAATCAAAATGTTTTCCTTTTTTTCTCATTGATTTATTCTTTTTTTCAGATATTAAGGTGATTGTCTATACTAAATTTGACATGTTTTACTGAGAAAGGTATGATTCCACAAGGCATACATCTGCGATTTTCTGTTTATGAAGATGATGTTTTTATATGTGTGTGATAAACATATCATATAGTGAATTGTAAACATTTCACATTATTGATTTTGTTTCTTTTTTTTTATGTGTATCTTGTGGCAGGCTCTCCCAAGACATCAAAAATAGATTGTCTTTACCAAATTTGACATGTACATCTCTTATTTGTAAAGGTTTCTTGTAACTAAGTTGGTTGACTTCACACAAAATAATTATATAAACCAAGCTAGCTGTGAGTTAGCAAATACAAAGTTATAACAATAAAAGAGAAAACAAAACAAGCTAAGGAGCAAAACAAAGCTACCAAAAGCAAACAACTCGGTAGATGCGCTCCAACAGAAACCAAATGCCAAACATAGCAATGAACTTATGCAATGGTAAAATACTCAACGCCAACAAGCAAGAAGAAAACCAACAAATGAAAACAAAAGAAGGAACCAACATGGCCAAACTAGACCACTCCAATAAACCCAACACCAGTAAACTAACCCACCCATCAACCCACAAGATGCAGGGGTAAAGTCGTCCAAACTCCAAACCAAACACTCTAAAACAATTAGGTTGTAACGTGTAGATCAATACTTGAATAATGGATATTCTTCATTCATAAGGAAACTAAAACCAAACATTTAAGGGTATAATGGTCAAAATTAGTAAAACTCTCCCACCAACCAATCTTGAATCATAAAGCACCAGATCAAGCATAAACAGAAGAAATCTTGATGAAACCTTCAGATGAATGCACTAAACATCGACCTGAAAAAGCTTTACAAGGGTAAGATGGTCATAGTAGTGGAAAAAGCTTCTACCAAATCAACTCCACACTAGGAACAATCATATATGGGTAATCTGGTCCAAGAGTCCAAAATCAATATATAAATCATTTGTTGCATTTACTTTTCTGTTAAATATTGCAGAACCATATTTATGTATATTGTAGAACCATAGCCAATTCCCCAAATTTACTCATTTTTTGCATTTACACATTTGTTATGTTTTTTTCTTGTAGTTGAAGTGGTCGCATGATGCACGTGGGCTTAATCTGTACCAAAGAAGTGACTAAGTGATAGGAAACATAATAGACATATGGCCATAGTCATACACATACTTTTGTTATCATCATACACATACTTTGCTATCATCCCTATTACTTTTTATTTTAAATTAATCTGTACTTCAAAAGTTAAAAGTAAAATTTCTTATGGTATGATCATATTATATAAATATTATATTATATTGCAAAGATATCATTTTGTGTGTTAGTTTTATAACATAGGTGTGTTGGCATTTGATCAATGCAAATTATATGATTATTTTTTTATAAGTTTCTAAAATACACTTATTTTATAATTTTATATTCCTATTTTAGTTAATTTTGTTACAAACCTTCTATTTGTTACAGTTAAAAGATATAATTTTAGAAAGATCACAAAGTTTGTTAAAACTTATTCACCCTCCGTAAAAGTTTTCAAATATGTATATTCTAATTTGAGGGTTTTCTTGTTTTATTCGTTAAATCATAAAATGGTGAGCATTACACTCAACAGAAAAAAATTTGAGTTTCATATAGTTATTGCAAAAAGATGATGTCAAATACGTAACAACATTGATGGAGAAATAAAACAAAACCTTAAAGAATGGATAATAAGAATAACTTTATGTTTAAAATACTAAAACTAAAAAAAAATCCCAAATAGTACATAATTATTATTTATTAGTACCGTATATTGAACATGTAGTCGAAATAAATTAATGAAACACATAATTTATAAACCCATCAACGAAAAAAATACTCGTCGCTTAGCGCGGGTAAACGGATAGTATATATATATATATATATATATATATATATATATATATATATATATATATAACTTAAATGCTAGTCTTACCGTTAGTAGGCCTCATTCACGAAACCGATCTATAAGAGGGGAGGGGGGGGGGGGGTATAAGTTATGGCCTATAAAATGGTCGTTTAATGGGTGTCCACTCTCACCTACCGCTTCCTTGATTGGTGAAGGGTCGTTAGCCGAACGGGTAAGATAGGGTAAACTTTCCTCATTAAAAGTATAATGAATTTATAAAGTACCTAAATGCTTTTTCAAAAAAATTCACAATCTTAGTTACTTTAGGCAAAAGTGAATTGATGCAATTCCATGAAATTACACTTTGTACCATTTCTAAGATGTTAGTGTAGCGTGTGTGGTTAACCGGCACACTAACTGGGCTCTAAGCAAAGGTTGAAAAGGGTGACTCGATGTTTTTCATAGTTCGATGGAGCGTGTGTGGTTAACCGGCACGTCGAAAAGGTGACTGTAACATTGGGGGCACCATGTATATTTGCATGGTTATTCACACCCGCTTTGTGATCCTCGGCATCCCAGTCACAAACTTGAGGGGCATATCGAGATTTAAACATGTCATTGAAAAGTTCAATGAATCTAAAAAGATCTAGGAGTTTTCAATACATTTAAAACTTATCTTTAATTTGTTTTTCATGGTGGAAATTAGTGAATCGTCATTCACTTACCTTCAAATTATTTGCTTGTTAGATTACGGCATCCCTCTTCTAATTTGTAAATAATGTTGTTGGATCCTAGCCCTGATTTCTCATTTGGGTGTTTAATCGGGGATTTATTTCTAATCAAAGTTTGTCTTTTTCTATTTCAGATGTCTAACGTGAACAACGCTTCCGGCTCAAATTCCTTTGGCTCGTTCTCTCTCATGAACATGTGTGGGAGAGTGATCTTTGACGGGTCCAATTTCAATGATTGGATCCACAACCACCGAATGGTCACTCGTTACGAGGACAAAGAGTATGTCCTCGATGAGAAGCTGAAGGAAATCAACATCAACACTGCCTCTGCTGAAGAAATCGCTGCCTTTGAGGCCCATGAGCGTGATGCCACGAAAGTCCATTGCATCATGCTGGCGACTATGACTGCAGAACTCCAGAAGTCCTATGAGGACATGTACCCCTATGAGATGCATCAAGATCTGTTGGACCGGTACCACCAAAGCGCTAGGCAAGAAAGGTACGAGATCATCACTTCGATGATCACTGCCAAAATGGGTAATGGAGAGTCCCTTACTGCTCATCTACAAAAGATGCAGAGATATGTTGACCGTCTACTAAAGTTAAATGTTAACTTTGATGAAGAGCTGGCAATTGACATCATCCTTCACTCCTTGCCTCCCTGCTACAACCAGTTATGCATGACCTACCACATGAACAAGGAGGGGGTTTTTTTGAGCAAGCTTCAGGGCTTATTAAGGACTGCTGAGAGCAACCTCAAAGACAAATATGTTGCATCAACTCCAACTCCTGATGCTGCCCCAGTCTTGGCAATTGGGCAAGGAAAGGGGAAGAAGAGGAAGGCTCCCTCAAAGGGCCACCATAAGGGAATGTCCCATGATGGTACCTCTTCTAGTGGAACCAATGTTGGTTCTGCTAAACCCAACTCCAACCCCAAGGAGGCAGAGTGCCACCACTGCCACGAAATAGGGCATTGGAAACGAAGTTGCCCGAAATATCTGCAAGATATCAAGGATTGAAAGATCAAGTCGTCCTACGCAGGTACTTACACTATTAAATCTAATGATTCATCACATGTTATTTCTTGGGTACTTGATACAGGATGTGGTTTTCACATTTGTTCTGATTTGCAGGGCCTAAGAAGAAATAAGGATGTGGAGCATGGGAAGATAAATCTAATCATGGGGAACAGAAGATCGTCGTCTGTCACCAAGATCGGAGTTTACTCTTTAGTGCTCAGTAGTGGATTAGGATTAGATTTAAATAATTGTTGCTATTCGCCAGATATGGCAAGAAACATCATTTCATTTCATGGTTTGTATAGACAAGGATTTAGATATTCATTTGATAATGAAAAGGATTCTATTAATGCTTATCTTAATGGTGTTTTCTATTTTGAAGCATTGCCTTGTAATGGAATATATGAAACTGTGATGGTTGTAGACAATTTAGGAAATGATGTGTTGTGTATTGATTCTTCCAATGATTTGGATAAAGCATGCTTGTGGCATTGTCGTCTTGGACATGTCAACAAGAAGCGCATAGCCCAACTCCAAAAGGATGGAGTGTTGGAGTCATTCGACCTAAGGGACGATGACGTGTGCGAGTCTTCTTTACTTGGAAAGATGACCAAGTCACCCTTCACTGGCACTTGTGCGATGGGTGAGGGTTTATTGGATCTCATACATACCGATGCATGTGGGCCCATTAGATCCACCACAAGGGATGTGTGCCGCTTCTACGTGACTTTTACCGACGGTTATAGCAGATACGACTATATCTACTTAATCAGACATAAGTCAGAAACCTTTGAAAAGTTCAAAGAGTTTAAACAAGAAGTGGAGAATCAGTTGGGCAGGAAAATCAAGATGCTTCGATCCGATCGAGGTGGAGAGTACCTAAGTCTTGAATTCCACGACTACCTCAAGGAATGCGGAATTGTTTCGCAATTGACGCCACCTAGGACACCGCAGTTGAATGGTGTGGCTGAGAGGCGTAATCGAACCCTGCTGGACATGGTTCGTTCCATGATGAGTCGTGCTTCGCTACCTATCTCATTCTGGGGGTATGCCTTAGAGACTATCGCCCATATCCTTAACTTAGTCCCTACGAAGAAGGTTGCCAAAACACCTCACGAGATGTGGACAGGGAAAGCTCCCTCGTTGGCACATATCAAGGTTTGGGGTTGCGAGGCTTTCGTAAGACGAGAGACTCACGACAAGCTCAAACCTCGTAGTGAGCGGTGTATTTTCATCGGCTACCCGCAGAAGTCCTTTGGATATCTCTTCTATAGACCGAGTGACAATGTTGTCTTCGTTGCGAGGAGAGGGGTTTTCCGAGAGCGAGAACTCATAAGCCAAGGGGACAGTGGGAGACAAGTCCATCTTGAAGAGCTTCAAGAATCGAACAATGAAGGAACCTATAACACTAGCGCTCAACCCGAGGAGGAAACTCCGGTTGAACCGATTGACGAGTCCTTACCTCTTAGACGTTCCGAAAGAGTTAGGGTTCAACCCCAGTTTTATGGTTTTCATATTACTACAGAAGGGGATACGTTCATTAGTGATAGTACACTAGTAAATTTGGACGAACCTAACAGCTACAAGGAAGCCATGGCGGGTCCGGAGTCTGCAAAATGGAAAAGGGGCTATGGACAGCGAGATTCAGTCCATGTATGACAACCAAGTTTGGAATTTGGTTGACAATGTGTCAGGTCGTAAGACGGTCGGGTGCAAATGGATCTTCAAGAAGAAGACCGACATGAATGGGAATGTACACACCAATAAGGCGCGATTGGTTGCGAAGGGTTTCACTCAAACTCCCGGAGTTGACTATGATGAGACCTTCTCACCGGTTGCGAAGATAAAATCTATTAGGGTGATGCTAGCCATTGTTGCATTTCATGACTATGAAATATGGCAGATGGACGTCAAAACCGCTTTCCTTAATGGGAAGTTGGCTGAGGATCAGCCAGAGGGTTTTGTCGATGCGAAGCACCCCAATAGAGTGTGCAAGCTTGAAAAATCCATTTATGGATTGAAGCAAGTATCTCACAGATGGAATCTTTGTTTCGAAGAGAAAGTCAAAGAGTTTGGTTTTATGCGAAGCGAGGATGAATCATGTGTATATGTTAAAGCTAGTCGGAGTATAGTGAGCTTCCTCGTATTGTATGTCGATGACATACTACTCATAGGAAATGACATCCCAACCCTGCAGGAAGTCAAGTCCTGGCTTAGGAAGTGCTTCGCTATGAAGGACCTCAGAGATGCTGCCTATATTTTGGGAATAAGGATAGTGAGAAATAGAAGTAAGAGACTAATAGGACTTAGTCAGAACACTTACTTGGACAAGGTGCTAAAGCGTTTTAGTATGGAGAATTCTAAGAAAGGGGAGTTACCAATCCAAAGTAATGCCAAGTTGAGTAAGACTCAAAGCCCGAGTTCCGAAGTCGAGATAGCAGAGATTAGCCGAGTACCATTCGCTTCCACAGTTGGCTCGATTATGTCTGCTATGACTTGTACTCGCCCTGATGTGGCCTTCGCTTTGAGCATGGTCAGCAGATATCAGGGGAACCCTGGCAAAGCACATTGGACCGCAGTCAAGAATATTCTTAAGTACCTTCGGAGGACCAAGGAATGGTTTCTAGTAGTCTGTGGGAGTGATGACTTAAGGGTGCGAGGGTATAGTGACGCCAGTTTTCAGACCGACAGGGACAACTACTGTTCACAGTCGGGTTTGGTCTTTACTCTTAATGGAGGAGCAGTGACTTGGAAAAGTTCCAAGCAGGAGACCGTAGCTGATTCAACGTGCGAATCAGAGTACATAGCGGCGAGCGAAGCGTCAAAGGAGGCGATATGGTTGAAGAACTTCATTGGAGACCTTGGAGTTGTGTCGGCCATAAAGGAGCCCATGTAAATTTTCTGTGATAATGAAGGAGCAGTTGCCTTGACCAAGGAACCGATGGATCATGGCAGATCTCGACATATCGACAGGAAATATCATTTCATTAGACATCGGGTAAAAGAAGGCTCCTCGTAGTGAAGAGGGTATCGTCAGAAGATAACCCGGCAGATCCCCTTACGAAGGGACTGAATAGGGTTAAGCACTTGCAGCACGCTAGGAGCATCGGGCTGAAGAACGATATTAGTTTAGAATTGATAGCTTCGAAACGTGTAATAGATAAATGTAATTGACATTTGATGATTAAATAAAAGAGTATTATTTATAAGTAATGTAACTGTCTTATATTGATTATTTACCTATTGTTTCACTTTGCATGTTTTTTGACTTCCTGAATGATAAGATTATTCGAACGTTCCACAGTCGCTCATACTTTGGGAGTAGGTATGAAAGAAGATTGTCATGAATTGGTGTGTAGATTGTCTAAAGTGTATTAGACATAGCAAAAGTGTGCTACAACGTTCATGGGTGCTTATGAACAGGATTTGAGCATTGGATTAGACCCACGCTTGATGGTATCACTTCATGGAATTTATCTCGAGTGATCGCAAGACGATAATATCATATGGTTTTAAAACCAAGATATATGGTTTATTATTTGCAAGTTGGTTGTGCATTGATAATGCGTAAACACATCAGTAACTTGATGTTATAAAACACATTGTTGTGCATAAATTGATGAGTGAATGGTAAATGCATATAAGTCGAAGTTTATATGTTCCTTTTATCCTAAGAGGGTAAAAGTGATATCTGAGCCCCTCGATGATTTGGTTTGACTTATGTGTCGGCCCCGGTCAGGACTGAATTGATATGTTCAATTAAGTTCTATGTCAGACAAATCAGAGATCGAGAAACAAACTGCTGGACAATAAGTGTGATTATGTTCCATGTAATTATCCACACGATATCTAGAACGGAGGACTATACGATTCCTTATCTAAAGGACAGGTTACTGATAAGATCAGAGTTCGACAGCGTCTTTGAGAGCTACGATTGCTAATCGGATTGTACCTACATTATAGTTACTAGACTTATCCACGTGGAAGACTGTTGGATTAGTGTCTAAGCTCGTAACTATATTTGGTAAGTACTTTACCCGGTTGTGCATGGTCCTTTTGGGTTGTCTTCACCAGAGCAACTTGACAGGGTGATTTATGAAGAGAGGTTATTATGGTTTATTAATATATTATATGAATAATATATTAAAGGAGAAATCATATAGTTTAATTAATATTATACAAGAATTAATTATGTGGCTAAAAGATATTAATTAAATAACGGGGACTTAAACTGTCAAATGTGTGATAGTTGGATATTGGGCTGAGAAGCCTTATGGACTAGGCATGGACGAAATTAGGGATGTGTCCATCCTAATTTCGGCCATAAGGGCCCTATTCTAGAAGTTTCCTTGGATTGCTTAAGGCCTAAGCTGTCCATTAGGGTTTTGACTGAAACCCTAGCAGCACAAGTATATATAGAACCCCTAGGGCATCAGTTTTCAGCCACTTGAAACCCTATAGAGTTCCATAGCCGAAATTGTGTCTCTCCCCTCTTTGAAACCCTATAGAGTTCCATAGCCAAAATTGTGTCTCTCCCCTCTCTTCAATATCATCCTCTTGTTTGTGTGGTGTTTGTAAGCCATTAGAGGAGTGACATTTGTGACTCTAAGCTCCAAGACAAGAAGATTCAAGTCATTGTTGAAGAGGTAATCATCTAGATCTGTTTCCATATGATAATTTCGAAATATGTATGCGAGATCTAGGATTCATAAGTCTTGGATGAATTGCATGTACAATAGAGAAGCCTAGATCCAAGCTTTAGGGTTGACATGAGCACATAGGATGTTGTTTTGGCTCAAACCCATCAGTTCCACCATCCACTTTGCCTAAAAGAACACAAAACCATGTCACTGGCATATAATGCCTAAGTGGGAATGCATTGAAAATGAGAAAAAACATGAACATCTGTCATAACCTTGTAATGATGAGATATTAATAATGTTTGGTTACAGGAATTGATTAAAGACCACATGCTAAGTTCTATGTGATCGAGTACATGTATGTCAGCCTCTACAGCCTCGGTTAATAATTTGTTTTAACCTCTCTTTGTAGTGTAAAGAATAAGAATATCATAATACATATTCTTAGGTCCAGCTACAACAGTTAAGAGTAAATCAAATATGCTGCTGATTTGTATTATTAGAACATTGGAATGTTCAAATATGTGATCGAGTACATGTATGTCAGCCACTATATATATATATATATATATATATATATATATATATATATATATATATATATATGCTGCAGTCCAAAAATTTGTAAGCAATAGCCCAAATCAAGTCGCTTTGCTGAAAAAACATTATAATGCTCAAATGCTTCATCATCATTGGGAAGTAGATGTGCATATCTGAATCAAATAAGGAAGTCCAAGTCTATCAAGAGAAGTGGGTTCAAAATAACTTCATTCAAGTACCAAGCATCACCCTAAGCCCGATTAACGACTGCAAAGAATCAATTAGTTAAAAAAAACAACTGAATAGGTATGGGACAAAGTAGGAAGTCAGAATATTTTTTAGAAGATGTCAAACCTTGATTATGCCAATCGTTGCTGCTGATGTATTTTCAGAACAAACTTCCGAACCTACAACCGAGATAAGTATGATGGTTAGAACATGAGCAAAACAAAAGATTCTACTCGGAATCTATTTTCATCCTGATAAAAGATATGCACAGAGTGATGATCTGTAATGACCTATTTTCATTTGAAACTATTTAGGTCCATCTGTAATTGCTGTAGTGAAGAGAAACTAATGTATCCAAAATCTGTTTTCAAACTATTAATGTCATTGACTTTACTTCCATGATTGATGATCTTTTATTTAGCAGGTTCTTAAACAAATTCATGGAAAGACATCCAAATTCGATGGGAACAACGAAAAATAAGTTAAAGAGCAATAATCAAGGCTATCACCATAGCCTTGATTTATGCCAACATGTACTGACATTTACAGTAACAATAGAGGAACAAATTCCATCAGATTTCTCAAAAATATTGATGCCAACTAACTCAAAAAGACAATAAAAACTATTTTTATATATATTTTCACAGAACGTAATTTGGTAATTAAAAGAAACAAGAAAACTATAAGCTCACCTGTCATCCCATCATGCAAGTCGGCTGGCTGAAAGTGCTATCAACTCATGTATTGTCCTAGGTATATTATTACCACCAGCAAAAAAAGTTCCTAGATAAAGGGTAAGTTGGTAATTAGCTAAAAACAAATAAAATATGAGGAAAAAAACAGAAAGGCAAATTATCAGTATCATTGCTATCAGCTTCCTGTTCTTCAGCTTTTATTAATGGCTTCATGTGACTTTGTTGTTCATTATCTGTTAAGTTTTCATAAAACAAGATCTAGGAAAGGTAATAACAAAATTCGTAGGTTCCTAGCAGAAGCATAGGATAAAAGAAAGTTAGATACACCATAAAATATCAAAAAGTAATAATTCAAAGAGTCATAAAAAGAAAGTTTTCATAAAAAAGAAAGTTAGATACACCTAGGTTCCTAGCAGAAGCATAAGAAAAAAGAAAGTTACTAGTATGTACTGTCACTTGTTCATGAACCTACTTTCATAGAAAAAAAAATATAGCATTATATTTACCTATCGGGTTTCTCCATGAAGTCAAATCCAAGTATATCATCAACACCAAGAGCACTAAGCTGCAAAATAACATTAGACGGAAGCATTTCCCAGCTCCTTCACCCCCTGCACGCCCACTGCAACATTAGAAAAAATTTAAATTCAAATCACATTTCCATCTTATTTTATTATATTCCCTGCCATCTCAAAATAAAAAAGCAATGTTTGACTTGACACTTAGTTTAATGATGCAGACATGGCTTTATATTTGGTCCCTGTAGATGTAGATGTGAAATCAATGTGCTTAACTCCTTTGAAGAGCTTGAGCTTTTGAAGTTTTAACAACAATTAGAGACTCAATGCCACTATCAGGAGAGTAACTCCTCACTTTCACCAATCCAGGATCAATCACATACTTAATTCCAGGTATTGTCACTGATGTTTCAGCAATGATAGTTTCCAGTATTACCTACAGTAACAAACACACCAATTCAACTTCAGGAAAGTAATTAGGGGTGTAAAGGAAAAGCAAAACAGAAACAGTTTTATAGAGTTCTTAATAAGGGGTGTAGCTACTAGTGTACCTTTCTGAATCCAACAAGAGCATGTGCAAATATTTTCATTTGTCCAAATTGAATGACAAAGATTGACAAGCTGCTGTTGCTTTCTATATATCTCAACAGATGAAAGTGAAGACGGATGACCAAGAAAGAACTCTTTCCAAATAGTCAAAATACATAACCTAAGTGATTAATACCCCTTTACAACCTTTAAACTCCACCTCACAACCTTGGAAAAATCTGAAAATGTAACTATGTAAGAACCTTGGAAAAATACTTTATCTAGCTTTCATCACACATCATAGCATAAGAGATCAGAAAGACTACAAGCAACACTCACATCCAGTTGAAATTTCAAATACCATCTTCATGGGTAAAATCATCCAACTTGAATCTAAATTAGGTCACCGCATGACAGGAGATGATATTTTACTTGATTCCACATCAACAACTGATTATGCAAAGTGAAACATGAATTAGTTCTCATAGATCATGAGAATTACATTTATATTGTATGTTTGAAACTCCAAATAGAAAACTAGATAATGTACAATAGTAAATCTTATACATACCAGCATCAGGTAGAATGGCCATATTAGGTTCAGATCCTTGAGCCATCACAATAGCCTCTTCACAAACTTCAACAGACAAAGATGATTCAACATTCTTTTGAGTATCAGGAGCTCTATCGACATCCATGTCCGTATCCTTAAAATCCAAATGCAATGTTGTGTATCCTCTCTCATTGAAAGTAAAACCTTGATCCATAGAGACATCTTCTGGCTCCAATGATTGCGTTTTTTATCACCCACATCTTCTGGCTCCATCCCTTATGTGGAATTAACCTTCGTTATTACGTGCAAAGTTTTTTTTTTGGAATGGAAGACCTGCTGTATACTCACTGCTGCTTGCGTTTCCAACTATCAAACACCACCGAGACCACCTGCAACAAGGAAGCACGAACAAAGAAGAAAGAAAAATATTCATCTATGGGGGAGAGAGATGAGAGAAAACCCGGTGGAGGGGGGAGAGACGAGAAGGTGGATGCATCGATTAGAGAGAAAACAAACTCAGAGAGTGGAGTGAAGTCGGATTTAGGAAAAGTTGTACCAGTTTTAGGGAGAAATCGAAGCAGTTGGTCTTTGTTGTTGATCTTCTTTGCCGCGATTACTGGCTCGTGAATAGAGAGAAAGGTTAGGGTTTCTTGATTGAGAGAACGGTTAGGATTGATAGAATTTACGAGAAAGATCTTGCGGAAGGAGTTGATAAAGCCCGACGCTGTGACGATGACCATATGGGATAACGAACGTCTGATTCCGGCGCAGGTGCAATATGCGTGCATTGATGCTTTTTCTGAGTTATAGAATGGGGAGGTTCTTGATTGAGAGAACCTGAACTAATTCGAAGTTGAATTCACAGTTTTTGATCTAAGGCACCGTTTCTCAAGAACAAATTAGGGTTCTTAATATTTAGGGATTTATGATTTAGGGTGATTTGGCGAGTGGTAGTAGGCGGGATGTTTAATTTTTTTGGAATGGAAAATGGTTATGAATGATTTAGGGTTTAGCAGAGGATTTTAGAAGGAGAAGAAGGAGTATCAGCCGGGGTATTTAATTTTTTTGGGATTTCATTTTCTAAAAAAATACCGACAACGCTCCTTCTTAAAAAAAATATATATATAAACTTTACACGACACGCTTTTTATGATAGGACCCTCCATATTTCTTTTTTTTTTCTTTTTTGACACTAATTTCAGTTCACGCATAAATGCGTGTTCTCTATCCTTCAAATTTTAAAAAAGATGACATTATTTTTAGGGTGCACGCTTTTACGTATCGTAAATCACTGCGTGTCATTGTTTGCGCGTCATTAAACGGTTATAACAACCATGTTGGTGTAGTATGTACAAAAGAAAGATCTTAGGAACCTAATGTGGACAAAATTAAAACTTATTACCTTTTTTTAAAGGTTATATACAACAATATTGGTGTAATATATAAAAAAAAACCTTAAGAACCTAATATGGACAAAGTTAAAACTTTATTAACTTCCAAGGTCATTAACCGGTCAACCCCTTAATTTCAAAAGGTTGACATAAATCCTTATGGTCAATATTATATTATTATTAAAAAGTATTTAACATTGTTTTTTATAGAGGAACTATTATCACTATATTTAATTCGCAATAGGGAAAATTACATATATATATATATATATATACCCTTATTAAACATCAAAAATATCAAATTTGCCCAACCTAATTCCTAAATATCATATTTATCATTCACAAACTTTCAAAATATCATATTTGTCAAACTACTTATTTTTATTATTTTTAAATATATTATAATTATTTTAAATCCTTATTTTTATTAATTGACTATTATATCCTATTATAACTTTAACTTCAAAATATCATTAATCTTCCAAATCATGAATATAAACGAAAAGTTAATTTTCAAATCATATGTTCGTGATCGTTGATTATGAACTTTGAAGAACAAATTGGATTCGAAGTAAATAATTGGTCAAACAACCTATGAGTAAGACTATAAGAGATTTCAATAAAACCATATCATAAAAGCTTCGAAGACTTGATTTACCAAATCTAAAGTATTAAGTGGGTTTCAATCCCAAAATTCAGTCAATGTATATAGGGAGTTTCTCACTTCAAATATAAAAAATTGTAAAAAGAAAAAAAAACATAAAGAAAGTATTAAGAAAGTGAATCTTCCATGCCAATTGATTACAGTCTCGATCAAAATCCAAGAAATGCTTTCTAAATTATATTCACAAATATGGTTTTTGAGAGTTATGCAAGCAAGAACCCTAATTTGATTAATGTCGATTTGCCTATATAACAACAAATTGTGATTGAAAAACCCTAAATTATGGATTGAATTCGGTTTCTTTCTCAAGTCGATGGTTGTGGTTAGTATTGGTATTCTAAATTTGATTTATAATAAGGTATAATAGTCGATTAATATAAATGGAGATTTAAAATTATTAAAAAAATGTTTAAAAATATTAAAAATAAGATTTGGGTAAAGATGATATTTGAAAATTTATAAAGGAAAAATATGATATTTAGAAATTAAGTTGGATAAATATGATATTTTAATGTTTAATAAGGATATATACGAAATTCTCCTTTTGCAATAAAATGATTTTATTGCGTCAAATGGAAACTAAATTATTATATTATTTTTTTCTTTTTATTTTATACATGTTATAGTAGGTATAATATATCATTTTATATTTTTTTTTGTTTTAACCTAACTTTCAAATTTTGTTACAATTTTGGTACATACTTTCCAAACTTTTTTTAAGTTCTTTCCAAATTAGTTTTATTTTTTAAATTCTTTATAAAGTTAGTTTTTCTGTATGAATTATTTTGTTTAAGAAATTTTTTGTAACCTTCTATAAAAAAAATTATAACCTTTTGTTCAATATCTTTAAACTTTTTTATGGCATTTCTTTATAACTTTCTTATAATATTTTAAAATTTTTTACACCTTTTTTTAAACCTTTTTGAATGTTATTAAAAAATTTACTACCAAGACAATAAATCGAAGGAAACCTTTATAACTAAACACCATAAATAATATATTGAGACACATAAAACCAAATTCGTTAATTGATCTGTTTGAAGATCTAATACAGAAAAAGAATCGATATAAGTTGAATACAAAGTTGGTTTTATAGGTTTGATTTATTGTTTATGTGGGTTTGTTGTGTGGGTTTCAATCTATTTGAATATTCGTTCTGTTTTTTACTGTGAAATAATTTTAAAGTGTTTAGGTCATTTTTGATCACTTAACTTTTGGTTTTGTGCTAATTTGGTCACTTAATCTTTTTAATTTTTAAGAGGTCATCAAACTTTTGACTTTGTGTTCATTTAGTCACTTAACTTTTAGTTTTATCACTTAACTTTTGAATTTGTGCTCATTTAGTCACCTAACTTTTAAAATTATGCTCATTTAGTCACTAAACTTTTAATTTTTTTGTTTTAAGTTTATTGACTAAATGAGCACAATTTTAAAAGTTAGGTGATTAAATGAGCACAAATTCAAAAGTTAAGTGACAAAACAAAAAATTACGTGACTAAATGAGCACAAACCAAAAGTTTGATTACCTTTTAAAACTTAAAAAACGTTAAATGACAAAATGAGCATAAAACCAAAAGTTAAGTGACCAAAAATGACCTAAACCAATTTTAAAAATATTTTTAATTTTTTTAAAAGGTTCTAAAAACATTGTAAAACCATTCAAATAAAAGTTTACGAAATGTAAAAAAGTTGTAAAAAGTGAAAAAAAAAAGTTTAAATTGTTTATTAAAAAGGGTGTACAAATTTATATATATTGTTTTTGTAAAAATACTTTGAAATAAGTTGTTAAAAAGTTAATTTGTAAAGAAAGACTAATTTTGGAACGAAATTGTAAAAGATTTAAAAAAATTGGATGAAGATCATAACAAAATCCGAAGCTTGGGTCAAAATTCTTAAATTGTAAAATGATTTACCACAAGTAAAACCAAAACAAAAAAATAATATATATATATATATATATATATATATATATATACTACTTTATAATACATAGATAATACATATTTTAAGTCCAAAGTCTTAAAAACAACGAGATGAATTTTTGGCCTTTGGAATTGATTTGAATGGTTAGGATAGTGATCCATGTCAATAGATTTAAATCAATCAAAATCAAGTATCCATACCTTCTTATAAAGAGTTTATAATTATGGGCCCCACCAAAATTAAGACTAAGTCTTAAAATACGAGAGTGGATTTTGGCCATTAGATCTAAGTTACATGATTTGGATCTAATTTTAATGGCCATTAGATTTAAGTGACTAAATGAGTACAAAGCCAAAAGTTTGATTACCTTTTAAAACTTAAAAAACGTTAAATGACAAAATGAACACAAAACCAAAAGTTAAGTGACCAAAAACCTAAACCAATTTTAAAAATATTTTTAATTTTTTTAGAAGGTTCTAAAAACATTGTAAAACCGTTCAAATAAAAGTTTACGAAATGTAAAAAAGTTGTAAAAAGTGAAAAAAAAAGTTCAAATTGTTTATTAAAAAGGTTGTACAAATTTATATATATAGTATTTGTTAAAATACTTTGAAATAATTTGTTAAAAAGTTAATTTGTAAAGAAAGACTAATTTTGGAACGAAATTGTAAAAGACTAAAAAAAATTGGATGAAGATCGTAACAAAATCCGAAGCTTTGGTCAAAATTCTTAAATTGTAAAATGATTTACCACAAGTAAAACCAAAACAAAAATAATATATATATATATATATATATATATATATATATATATATATATATATATATTATTTTATAATACATATTTTAATACCAAAGTCTTAAAAACAGTGAGATGAATTTTTGGCCTTTGGATTTCATTTGAATGGTTAGGATACTCATCCATATCAATAGATTTAAACCAATCAAAATCAAGTATCTATACCTTCTTATAAAAAGTTTATAAATATGGGCCCCACCAAAATTAAGACTAAGTCTTAAAATACGAGAGTGGATTTTGGCAATTGGATCTAATTTACATGATTTGGATCTAATTTTAATGGTCTAAGACGTGATCCTTGAGAATAAGAATCAGCCAATCAAAATAATAGGATTACATGTTTAACTTTTACAAAAAGCACTCTCTTCATTATATAAACTCTAGCACCCGTATTATACTCTCACATTATTTCTCTTTCTAGAAAGCACTCTCTCAAACGTAGTCCCAACTTATCTTTCTTTATTTTTCTTGTTTTGTTTTTGTTCAGCCTCATTATCTTTCTATACACCACCAGGTAGCACTTTCTTCACACTCATCTTTTCCTGTCAAAATAAAAAGTAGCATAAGAAAAATCTATAAATTTATCGTTTGGTTATTGTACATGTTTTAAGCATTCAAAAGGTTCATTCTCCACTTTATTTAAAACCAAACCAGTAATACTTTACTTTTGACTGGTAGGAATTTGATATCATAATGTTAGCCATTTTCATTGAACATCATTACAGCCAACCTATCAAGTTTTCTTATGGGGCTGAATTTTGGTGGTGACGTATTGAAAAAAGAGGTTTGCATGAATCTCTCACCCTGATCAAGATGACTACTTGGTGTTTAGTGTCATGGAAGCAGGCTTCGGTGTAGTTGTGTCTCATGTTAAAGAGGATTCACTTTCATATGTTGACAAACAAGAATAGTTCCTAGTTAAAGCTTAATAAACATACATATAATGTACTTGTGATTTGTGATTTGTAGATAACATTCGCTTCCTATTTCAATCCAAATTTATTATTTATGATTTTAATTATTTTCAGTCTTCAAATATATAAGAAAACAATGAATTTCTGTTTATCTGATTTTTTTCAAGGTTCAGATCTAAAATGTGACAAATCAAATTGAGAAATTGAATTGGGTTTAACCCTTTGTACTATTATTTCCTTTAACAACTCTGGTCCATAAACAAACTCATTTCAATTTCACATTCAAATTTCAATACAAAGTTTGAAGATTCAAAACCACATATGTTCTTTAAAAAGCCTATAACCACCATTACACATCGACGTCTGGAATACATATGAGCACAACCTTAATAATTAAAATCCAGATCCAGAAAATAAAATTAACTTCAAAATATTCAAAATTAAATTCTTGAGAGTTTAAGTAATGATGATTTCGTTTGTTTTCACCTTACAACCGAGACCAGAGCCACAAACTGCTGCCTTCGTTTTCGCCTTACAACCAAGGCCGACACTATTAATCTTCGTTTTCCAGCATCAACCCACAAAAGAAAAGGAAATGAAGAAGAAATAGCTGATATTTGAAATGCAACAGAAAAGAAAAATCCGATAAGCCTTACATCCACTGCTTTCATTTTCGTTCCAACAACCCGACAACCACCACCTTATATCAACCCCTCTCGAACACCACTGATAACGATCAACTTCGCCTACTGCTGCCATCGAGAAGCCGAGACCAGAACCACCTGCTTGGTTGCCATTTTTTTGAGAACATCATCACCACCCCAATGCTGCAATCGAGCTCCTCCATCTTCGACAACCCCACTTCACCATTAAAACCCGAGAACCTCGAAGATCCTGCAGCTTCTTCTTCGTTTTTCACATCCAAATTGGAAACCAAACTTCACGACCTTGCCAAGAACCATCGAACCAAGAAAGATAGACGAAGAAAAAAAACCATATTTGATTTTTGAGAAGCTGTCGATTGAAAGAAAGAACAAGAAAAAAGATTTATTGATTTCTTTTTGTCGATTGGAACAAGGAGAAAGAACAAAAAAAAAAAATTGTTTTTGTGTTCCTGTGGTTATCGATCAAAGAAAAGAAACAAGAAGGATATTTGATTTCTTTCTTGATTTCTGTTTTAAACATATTTGTTGTTTTTTTTTTTTTTTTAGGGAAAATGACAAATACGCCCTATGAAATTTCTAGGGTTTACTTTTTTAGTTACTTAACTTTTTTAGTGGTTTTTTAAGGGAACAAATTTGGTTTTGTCGGTTCTAATAGGTCCTTTTTGAGAAAACAAGGGGTAACCCGATTACCCCCTTATGCCACATCATTTATTTTTATATTTTAATAAATTAAAAAAACTAAAAGGTCTCACGCCATCTCTCTCTCTCTCTCAACTTAAATCAACCTTGCTCCACCATTGCCATCACCTTCTTCCTCACTGGAAACCACCATCGTCCGCCATAGAACCACCGCAGCCCCACCCCAAACAACCCTGATATATGAACCTTATTTCCTATTTGATCACCGTTGGATTGGAAAGGCGGAAGCAGAAGAGCTGTTGTGCTACCACCACTCGTCGCCGTTGCTGTGGTGGGTGGTACCCATCATCACCGGTGATATTCAACACCCATCACTCCTGCTGTTCTTTGCTCTAATAGGTGACGACCAGAAGAGAGTAATGACGATGAGGAGCTCGCCAGAGGAGACCCGTAGAACTACTCTTTTTAATTTTCAACCTAATTAAACACCTCCAAAACAGAAAAACAACGGAATAAGGAACTACATATATCTGTTTAGGACCGAACCCATCATCGGGACCATCCCGTCGGAACTGTTCATGTCACCGGCCACCATGGCAGGTGTTGACTGTTCTTGGAGATTTTTGAATGAGTCTGAACAGAAAAGAAAAGGGGGTACCTAAGATTGATGGAGGAGTAAGGAAAAATGATTGGAAGCTACTTGAAGGTCGAAAAGAGATGAAGACAGGAGGGAAAATGGTGATTCTCGCCGGTTCTTCTTCTCCGGTGAACAGTACTGATGGTCCTCTTTGCGGTCGGAGGCTTGCTTCAACTGGCCATGGCGGTGGTTTGGTGGTGATTGGATCAGTCTGCAATCAAAATAGAATGAAGACGAGAGGATGGGCTGAAGAAGGCAACATCTTTGGTTGTTGCTGGGTTTTTTCTGGAGAGAGAGAGAGAGAGAGAGGGAGAAAGATGGCCCCAATTTTTGTCTATATGACCTCTAAACCGACTAAAACAAGTAAAGGGGACTAAAAGAACAGGTTGCCCACAACTTGGTTCCCTCATAAAGCCACGAAAAAACTTAAGTGACTAAAAGGGTCAACCCTAGAAACTTCATAGGGCGTATGTGTCATTTTCCCAATTTATAAATAACAGGAAACTAGTGCTATACAAAGACATTTCAATTGATTGTGTGGTACACCATACCATCATAGTTTTAAGAAAACACTAATATGCAATTTGATTGAGTTATTCTTCACAGATACATAACCGAAGGCTTATAAAAAAAACCTTAAACTTACACCAAATATAGTCATGAAATTTTCATTAGTCGCTCCAATTCATCCGTTTCATCCGCTGGAATCTTCAACAAAGGTTTTCTTTTTCTTTTTTTAATTTTTCATTTATTGATTTGAACTCATGATGTAATAATCGAACATGTTAGAGATGATATAAACAAAAAGGAAAACACAATAGATTGTAAAAATGAAAGAAGCCTCACACCTGAAAACAGAAAATGTTAACACTTGAAAGATCAATTTGCAACACTGATATCAGATGAAAAAGAAAAACCGCAAAATAAACTTCACTTACACGAAGGAGAAAGTTAAGTTGGCACATCGACTTCAAGAAAGAGCAATAGGAAGATAAAATAGTCCTGTTATGAAGCTTCCAATATCAGGCGGTGTAGAAAATAACATGAATATCAAGAACAATAAAACCCTTAAAATTTGAAATATCACCGATGCTTACCAATGAAGCCTTGGCGTATTGGGATTTGGAAATGGATTGAAAACGAAGGAACATATACTTCTGATATTTCAACCGAATCCCTTTTTCCGTCACCCACATCAACCTCGAGACCTTCTCCACTACCATCATCACCATCTGTTCCAATCACCCTCATCTTTCTTCCCCCTCCCCTGCTGTAGTAACCCATAATGAAATACCAAAGAAACACTCATTTTCGAGGGTAGTTCTTCGAGAGAGTAAGAGAAAGAAAAGGAGATAATAGTATCATATAGGGCGATTATATAAGCTTCGTTTCGGCTACAATTATCTTCTTCAATGACCATGAATTCATCACAAAGTTCTTCTAATACCTTAAATCCAAGGTTGGAGATGTTAATATACCTTCAGTACAAGTCAAAGATAAATACCTTCCGGGTTCAAATTGCATCAGAAGGGTTGTTCTTAATTTCATCAAAGATAGTAAGATAACTACATTTATATGATTTTTCAAATTAGATCATTGCTCTAAAAATATGGGAACTGGGAAGGAAGAACAAACAAACTGAACCCAAGAATTACTTAATGCATGCAGATGTGGTTTATAGGAATCCATTTGGAGATGATTTAGTTTCAGAACCCTAGCTTCCTCCAAAAGCGCTTGATTTGGAATTGGTTGTGAGATAAAGGAAATGGGATGAAGAGAAAAATTAGGTATATATTCCTGATTTATTTCCATGGAATTGAAATCTGTTTGATTTATTGGCATATTTAATTAAAAACGAATACGTAGCGAATGAAATTGAAATTGGAGAAGCAAAACAACGACACATGGCATAATATAGAATTAACAGTTTGACACATGGCAGAAGCATATTAACACTATATATATATATATATATATATATATATATATATATATATATATATATATATATATATATATCTATATATATATATATATAAAACAAAACATAGACAATGTCAATATTGTTTTTTTAATATGTAACAGGTAACTAAATGACAACAAAAAAATAATACATTGATGGTAGAAACTTACAAAAAAAAAGGTAGGAAACACGATTTCAATAATTTACTCTATTTTTTAATATTATTGTTTCGTTTAATAATAATAACAATAATATGTATTTAATAAGAATATTGATAAGAAAAAATTAAATAAAGACAAATAATATAAATAATTCTTATTGTCCTTATCGTGAGGGTGATAATCATACTATGCGCAAGGGTGAGGGAACCCGATTGAATAAATAATTTTAAGAAAATAATATAAATAATTTTGAGAAAATAAATGAATCGGAAAGACATAGACAATGATAATATATTTTTTTCATATATAAATAACGAGTATGAAGATCACAATTAAAGAATAACATAGAGATATTTCGAACAAAAAATAACGTAGAGATAATTCGAACGAAAAATAATAACACTATAATAGTTTGAACAAAAAAAAATACACAAAGATAGTACGAACGAAATATAATGTTTGAACGAAAATAATAACATATTAATAGCTCAACAAACAAAATGATAGAAAACAACAAAATTAATATATATATATATATATATATATATATATATATATATATATATATATATATATATATATATATATATAATAAAGAATTTTTTTAAAAAAATGAAACAAAAAAAAAATCACCAAACAATTGAAAGGGATACATAAACCCCTATTTATATAGTCTGTAAGAGTAATTGATGATTTTATGTGTTCTATTCGATATGTTTAATGCAAATCTACTTTGAGATCGAGATTCTTGTGGCTTGACCAAGTCGCAAACTCAGTCAACATTCTTCCCCATTCCCCTTTTGAGTCTTAAGATTCTTCACACCACATGCTTTCCAATCATTTCAACATGTAATCCATATTCACCCCACTCATAAACTAATTAATCACAAAAGGACAACTGATCGAGAAGCAGTAGGTAATATTTCCCAAACAATCCGAAGTATAGTTCTTAACCTACAATCATTGGTTTAAAGAACAGTTGGGTCATCACAATACTAAATTGAAAAAATTCTACGACGAGCGGCTGGTAACCACAACCATCAAGTAGCTAGCTAGCCATGTGCTTTGGGAATCAAACCTGCTCAATCATATGCTTCAAGCAAATCATAAGATTCTATATGTGCTTCCACAGTCCACTCTCTTTCTCTCTATATATTATAAGCATGTTTCAACTACACTACTGTATCATCACAGTCGATACATATGGGTGTCCAAGAATTGATTGAAAGATGTCACACCCCAGGGTACAAGAAGCTAAATGTTGGTGAAAAGCCCATGGGTATGCCTAGAAGGTGGATAATACTGAAGAAAATGAACAGAAAACTTAAGGGTTTTAAATTAACCAACACACGGAAACTCAAGTGGAGGAGTTTTTGGATAGCATTGATGCCTAAGAGGACATTGCGGATATGTTGTGCTATATTGAATCGGCTGAAGGTGGATGGTGCGTATCCTGCCATTGTTTACTCCAGTCAATGGGGACTTCCTGTGCTTTCTCATCCTACTTCAAAGTGCAGAAACCCTATTAATGTCTCGTTTTATAAAAAACCTGGTAATATCAATCATGTTGTATTTGCTTAAGTAGCGATAACAACTAGGTACCCAACTTTGCAAGACGATCGAACACCCTCCATTGGCATAGTTTTGAGTTGGTTCTTGATCAATATGTCTACTACACTTTCCCGATTTATTATGTTTAACATATTATATCTTGGTGTTTGTTTGCTCCATTTAGTGTTGATAGTTCAAATTTTACGAACTTTTTATTCTATTTATGTTGGATGACAAAGAAATCAAACAATATTCTAGTTGTAAGCCGAGTATAAACAAAGGGGACGAGTTTGTGGCAACTATAAAGACAAAAACATTGGTCTTTGTGTGGTATTCAAAAAACTTTGGATATAGTCCAAAAAGTTTCCAACTTACATTGAAGATCCACAATCAAAACATTTATGTGATTTTGGTTCAAAAAAAATTGAAAAGACGATTATTCACGATTATTCCATTTTATTTTATTTTATTTTTTATTTTTTATAATTATTCTAATACTATTTTAATTAAAAAATAAAGAAAAAAAATTATTCCCCATCCCACCCACCTCTCTCTCTCTCTCTCTCTCTCTCTCTCTCTCTCTCTTCGTCACACTCGTCGTTCTCACCAAAATGTATCACCGGAGTTCATAAAACAAGTCTGTTGCCCTTCACCAAAACCTCTCGCGGAGTTCATCACCATCTCTCCAGAAATCTGAAGACTGTATGAAATACCAAACACTCTCGTTCCTCTTCTCTCGTCAGCAACACTTGTTTTCTCTGACCAGCAAACCCTAGTGAACCTGATTTTTCTCCAGCCAACAAACTCTAACAAACCATATTTGTCAAGACAATTGCATTTGATGTTAACAACAAGATCCGTGTATTTGATTTTCTAAACGGAGCTCTTCAATTTCTAGATTGAGTGTGCAAGTTCAAGAGTTTGGTTTGGGGATTCATGCTAGTGTGTTTGATTTCAGAGAATTTTGATTCAGATTCATCAGGTCCAAGTGTTTGATTTTGGTTCAGGTCCAAGGTTTGTTTCGAATACATACCTTAGGAACAAAGTAATATTTCTGGTTTCCTTGTCTATGATTCCATTTTCATCCGATTTGATTTAAGGGTATGTATTTCTATGTCTCAAGAACAAAAAAAAAATTCTGGTTTCTTCTTCATGATTTCAGGATCATTAGATTTGATTTCACGGATTGTATGTATAGTTTCCTTATCCATAAACGATGTCTTAAAGATATTTCTTGTTTTATTGTATTTTGAACGTATTTGGTTTGATAATATTTATTGTCGAAGTTTGAGTGCCCGAAAAGAAAGAAGAATGTGAGGGATGGGTTGGAGGAGTAGTAAAAATTTTTGTTCTTTTTTGTATTTCAAGACCCAAATTTGCATTACAAATAAAGAACATGATGAACATGATTCTGTTATTTTTTTTAGTTTGATTTTGGTTTCAATTTGAATGATCTCTCATCCTCACACATATGGAATGGAGGTGAGTTTTGCAGGTTGAAGTGCAGAGAAGGGATTGAGACAACAATGGTGGTGGTGTAACACCCGTGACTTGAGGTAATGATAATTATTTAATTTCTTTATAAGTAATTGTTGGACTATGGGATTAATATTGGATTGTTGAGTTGGGCCTTAGTGAGTGGGTCGTTGTATATTGGCGGGACTGAAGATGTACACTGGGCATAAGCTTGGCGTACGCGGGGCGTAGTGAAGGCATTGGATGTGGGGGGTTGATGCGCGTACGCGCAACGTACGCGAGCAGACTCAAAACCCTAATTTTTAGGGTTTAAGCCATATAAATACCACATTATGTCCTAAACCCTAGCCTCCTTATCAGCCACCTTGACTCAGAAACCCTAGAACCCTAACCTCCTTCATCTTTGTGTGATTTTGATCTTGTGAAGCTCATTTTGGTGGTTTGAATCTTAGAAGAAGAAAGAGGAAGTTGGTGAAGAGGAACTTGAGTAGCTTGAGCTCAAGGATCTAAGATATCATCACCATTCAGGGGCGGCTCAACCAATTTAGGGGCTCTAAAAAAATAAAAAAATTGGGGCCCTTCAAGCAAGCAAATAGTTTTGAACTTGAGACCTTTAGTTTTATAAACCAATGCTTTTACCACCCGAGCAAACTTCAACTTGTCTTTGTAACCCAAGAAATACATATATATATACATATATAACAAAATACACTTTAAAATTGGAGGCCCTTTGGAATTGGGGGCCCTAAGCCCTTGCTTAGTTTTGCAAAGGGTAGAGTCGGACATGTCACCATTTAGCATTCATTTGAGGTAAAAAGCTCACAACTTTCCTCATGTATGCTTAGATCTATGATAATAGTGTTTTGGACCTTTTTGGTCCCAAGAGTGGATTTTTATGGTCCAAATCCATTTCTAGGCTTAGGGTTGCCACCCTTAGTGCTATATGAGTGCCAAGAACGAAAAAGTTTCCATCTTGGAGGTCTTCTTATGGCCATGCATGAGTTTTGGTCATTTCCAAGGAAGTTAGTTGTCATATTTCAAGTTTGGGTTCATTTGGTGGGTTGCAAGCCACCAAGTAATCAAATTTATAGGTTAAGACACTTTATTGGACTCAGATCTGTGTTTGGAGCTTAAGGTCTTAAGGGATTAAGCCTTTTTGGAGATTTTGGCTTAACAGGGTTGTACGTTGGGCGTACAGAGGAGTACGCCCCGCGTACTCACTAGATTAGGGTTTCGTCAATTGGGCCTCGGGTTGGGTCGATCATTGGACTTCTTAACTATTGGGACTTCTTGACTATTGGAATTTAAGACTTAAAAATATGAAGTTTTTGGTGGCCACGACGTGGTGGTGTAATCGTTACGATGTGGCCTCACCCGATGGAATCGCGCCTTTCATTTAAGGCACCACGACGTGGCATGATGTTGGCAACGACGTGGCGGCGACCAGCATGCAAAACCCTAATTTTTCAGGCCTTAATCCCTATTTTAGGGATGTGATGACTAGAGTTTTCTCACCCTCAGCTTCCATCACCTCCCATTCGACCTAAGCAAACCCTAGCCTCTGTTTTTGAGTTCTTGAAGCTTTTGTGGTGATTTTTGGTGTCTTGAAGGAGAAGAAGATTTCCCTTGAGAAAAGATCTAGTAATCAAGTTCCCCTACCAGCTTCTCGCACATATTATGGACCATTGAAAGTCCTCATGTTCAAATCTTTATGTTCTATGCTTCTAAATCTAGGCTTTTATGCACTTTTCTCCATGTTTGGGATAGTTTTAGTGGATGGGTTCCATAAAGTTGGCCACTTTATGGATCCTTGAGGCCCTTTTGTTGTCCAATGATCTAGATCTGAGGTTTGGTTGATTTTTGGTTCCATGCATAAGGTTTTGACCTCCTTTTCACCTAACTGAATTTCAAGACATGCCTTGGACATTCATGTCCATAAATCAAGGATTTTTATGAGTTATTTGGGTGTAAGGAAGCCTTCTGGAAGAGATGAGTGAGTGGCTTAATGGATTAAGGGCTTAATCCATTAAGATGTCCATGTCACACCCCCAAACCGGAACGGCGGAAACGTTCGGGGGTGGATGACGTCATGTGTAGTATCACAACAATTGTATCATAGCAATCATAGTAACACAACCATTACATTGAATACACATATGAAAAAGGTTTACATCTGTTTAAGTCTTGTTTGAATACATCAAAAGTGTAAGTAAAATATAAAGACATGACTTTAATTGCTCCGACTTCTCAAAACTCCAGGAGGTACCTGTCTACTGATTTCCTGAGAATAAAAGCAGTTTTGAAAGAGTATCAACATAAAGCTGGTGAGTTCATAAGCGATGTTTTGTAGTAAAAACTTGTTGATGAATCTGTAAAAGTGTTTGCATGATTCCAAGAAAATCCAATATTTTCTTTAGTAAAAGTGAGATAATACAAGTAAAAATGTTTGTATGATTGGACTACTACCAGATGTATTGTATGATGAATTTTGTATGAAAAATCTCTGTATGAAATGTTCTGTTTGAAATCCCTGGTTACTACCAGCATGTATAGTAGTTTTATTTCTCATAACGAAACCATGTATTTTCCATAACTATAACCAATAATCGTTGTTCATGTATAGTATATTACTACGTAAATATATTGTTGTTATTTACATTGCGAGCTTTATGACCATACTAAACTTGATATGGCGCGAATCGGGCACCAGTATCCTTTATGACTTTGTCACCCGTAGACCTGTCGGTCCTACTGTAGCTAGCAGTAAGGTGCAGGATAGTCAGTCCGTATAAATCTATACACCAAAATCACGCTCTCCCTCGAGGAGACTCTGGATCATAAGAGGTAGTCCTCCACTTAGTTAAGTTTGTAAGCGCCCAAGGACGTGTCTCTAATTAGAATAACGACTTTACAAGTAATAATATAGAAAAACCCTTTTTATGAATAACCGAAAGGTTTGTAAGCTGTTGTATGAATTCCCAAACTATACCTAATATAGTTTGTGTGTTTGTATATGTATAACCTTGTATGTATCCCCAAACTATACCTATTATAGTTTGTGTGTTTGTATATGTATAACCTTGTATGTATCCCCAAACTATACCTATTATAGTTTGTGTGTATGTATATGTATAACCTTGTATGAATTCCCAAACTATACCTACTATAGTTTGTGTATTTGTATGTGTAAAATCATGTATTGATCTGAAAACTATGTGGTTAAGCTTGTAAGTTGAAAACATCCCTTATGCTCAGCATAATACAGAAGGGATAAAATATCTAAATATTTTATAAAAGTATAGAAACTGTATGTTTGTCTCGATTGTATCCGTTTTAAGTTTATTGAAATCCTTTTTGTAAAAATTTCATTAAATCATTTATGTTTGGCTTGTATCCCCCCCCCCTAAAAACATTAAAAACTCGGAAAATATAGGGGTATGAACTCACCTCGAGTGAGTGGTTTGTATGAAAGATCGATATGAGATGTTGAGTGTCAAGTGAAGCCTCGAACACAATTGGATCCTATTTAACATGTATAACACATATATGAATCA